AAAAATCACAACAGTACCCTTTTGAAAACACACTTAAAGCTGACTTAGGCTGGGGATAGTAGTGCAGACCTATAGTCCCAGCACTAACAAGGCTGAGGCAGGAGGATGGAGTGAGTTCGAGGCCAGTCTGGGCTACATAGTGAATTCCAGGCTATCTTGAAGTACAAAGGGAAACCTTGTCTCAAAAACAAAACAAAACAAAAACAAAAAAAGCTGACTTAAGAAAAACCAGTCTGTTTATGAAAATCATCTTAATTTCAAGCTTATGGGAGAATCATAACCAAAATGTCTCAGAGAGAAATTGGTTTGTGGGAGTACCATTTAGTATTTGGTGAGACACTACCTTCCAGCTTCCATTCTCTGCCAACTTTGAGGGTTCTGGGTTTTGTACTATAAACTGTCAAAACCCAAGTTTTCATATATGAAAGGAAAGAAAGATCGATCGATCGAGTGAGGGAGCCCTGAGTGATGCAGTTGGTGGTGGCAGCAGACAGCCCAATTCAATGGTCTAAATGCCCAGGTCTGCTGCCAAGGCCTGAGTCTGGCTTGAATGGTCTCCTGGTCTCCTGCTGACTGACATCTGACAATTCCTGTCAAACACTCAGGTCTTTCCAGCACAAAGAGCCTCATCTGGCCAGGTGGTGTGACAAAGGATAGGGAAAAGGGGAGGCGATAAAGGCTGAGTTCCCAGCATGCATTTCAGGAGTGGCAAAATGCTTGTGCCTGTCAGTCTTGTGGGCACCACGTCTAGCTCCCAGGTTATGCACAAAATTTTCCACCAAACCCTCATATGTAGTCATATAGCCTCTCTGACCGCTGCATGGGGGACACACTACCCCACAAGTAATTTCTAAGCAAATCAACACAAAGAGTCTCAGCAACTCAACAGGCCTTGGGGGACACAGTCTGAAGGTCTCTCTGTGAAAAATCAAGGTAAGTTCTATGAGATGTCTTGATTAGGAGCTGCAAACATCTGCATTTTTTTTTTTTTGGTACCGGGGATTGAGGTCGGGACCTTGCGCTTGTGAGGCAGGTGCCGGAACCGCTGAGCTGAATCCCCGGCCCAACATCTGCATTTTGAAGCCAGGGGCTGGCCTTGGAAGAAGAATTAAAAAAATAATAACCTGCCTCGCAAGCGCAAGGTCCCAAGTTCGATCCCCGGTACCAAAACAAAAAACAAAAAACACACAAAAAAATAAGACGCACAGTAGGCTGGGTATGGTGGCACATGCATGTAACACCAGCACTCAGGAGGCCGAGGTTGGTGGATCACTTCAAGTTTGAGGCCAACCTGGGTCACACAGTGAGTTCAAGGCCAGCTTGAAATACATAGTGAGACCTTGTCTCAAAAAAAAGAAAAAGAGGGCCGGGGGTTTAGCTCAGTGGTTCCGCCGCCTGCCTCGTAAGCTCAAGGTCCCAAGTTCAATCCCCGGTACCAAAAAAACCACACAAAACCCCCAAAAAACAGGGTACAGACTGCGAGATGCCCCCCATATGTCTGCCTCTCAGCAGTTCTTCATGGTTCAAGGATACACTTCCTGACTCTGTTCATTTATTATAAGTACATCACCCACCTCACCCTAACCTCTAATCCTATGCCTAAACATAGTTATGCCTGTCACTCCCAGGGGGACGCTAAAGCCTGCCATGGTATAAGAGGCACTTTAGAAACCATCCAGGCCAACTTCCATTACAGCACAGAGCTGAGGTCACAGAGAAAATGGCTCAAAGTTAGGGCCAGTGGCAGTGGCCTGGGATAAATGCTAATCTACTCCACAGTGCCACTCAAGCAGACTCTACAGACTCCTCTGTCTCCTTGCATCTGTGATTTGGAGGCCTGGGGTACATGCAGCCCTTGATCTAGGTGCACCAGGCACCATGCCAGGCACTGCAGGGGGAGGCAGCTGCGGCACTGCCCACGCAGGGCCCACGCTTCTGTGGTGACCGCAGTTCCAGCTGTACCCTACCATGGCATCTCACACAGGTATGGCCCACAGGGAGCCCTGGTCGCTTAGCCATCTACCTGTCAGCCTCCTCATGACATGGTGGGCAGGATGGATGAGGCGTCAGGGATGGACAGGAGAGGTGTCCCACTTGGGTGGAGTCCAGGCTGTCTGCCTGACTTCTACTATGTGGCTTCCTGGGGTGTGGGCTCAGTGCCAAGGCAAGGGAGCAGCCCCATGGCCCTTCCTTCCATTTCTTCCTTTGTTCTTGGCAAGTGGCCTCAAGACCACTGCCCTCAATCTCTGCCTTGGGAGTCCGGCAGTGCCCTCAGCATTTGCCTTTCACCAAAAAATGCTGGTGCTCACCTATGATTTTACCATAAATTCTGAGTGAACTGTTACTGGGTTTGATGTTTTAGATTTCAACTCTTTCCAAATAGAAGGAGTCACAGGATGATGTGATTAGCAACTTTAGTAAGAATTAAAGTCTTTATGTTAGAGAAAAAAATGACCCTTACAGCCAGTATGCTGAATCTGCATGGAGACTCCCTACTGCACTGGGTGGAAGGTCGGCAAATTATATCTTTTGTTTTCTCAGTGGTGCTGGGGCTTGAACCCAGAGCCTTCACACCAAGCTACATCCCCAG